TCTCCTGTAAGATGCAGAAAAAACTAATATGATATCATTGTATCTAGGTAATGTGTGTGCTTTGTGAAATTGATACACCCTGCCAAGACGTAAATTACTTAAGCTTTGATAAATGTGTTGAAATCAGGGAATGTTCAAACAGATAAAGCACAGCAATTCCTCTTTTTCTTCCTTGTTGAAACTGAATGTTGTGCTTGCATTTAAATGTGTTTTCTTCGCATTATTATTGTAATATGATGGGACAAAGACAGCAGTGATGCTGATGTTAGCATAGAGAGTCTCAGCAGGTACAGAAGTAAGCAGTGGGATACAGGCATGTGTTTTGTAGAAAACAGATAACAGCTTTGGACAGGGAGTTTGCCAACAGGTTAGAAACACCCACACACCTCCTACAGAAAGTTGTATCATAGAAATTGTCCAAGAATGAGGGCACTGTGGATGCTCTTCATGTATGTGGTGTACTTTCGGCTCTCTTTGCTGTACTTGGTAGGTTGGAATCAAAAATCAAAAATCCACAAACACATTTGTTGGCCATGAGTGCTCACCAGTGCCTGCCATCTGGATGTGCCTCGTATGTCAGTGACCCTGGAAACAGGAGGAAATTTGATGGATGCTCCAGGGTCAAGAAGGTTGATTTCTCCTCGGTCATTAATGTAGCCTATGACACGGAACACATTTTTTTGATTGAATAATCAGTTTCCTATGGCTTGAGATTCCATAAAGGCTTTGGAAGACAATTCTTAAATAGGAGACATGGGACTATCCATTGGACCATGCAAGAGCCATCAGTCATCAAATGCCTTTGCCAGAGATTGGGCTCAGCCACTTCCATCTGTTCTTTTGGTTAGTCCTTACCATCAACCAGAAAAGAACATATAGTGGAAAAACTGAAGTCCATATCAAACACGTAAGTGAGTGATGAGTCAGCAGGTGTCAGGTCCTGCGCTTTTGCTACCATGCTGCTTCCATGCTGGGAGTGAGTAACTGTGTGGTGTACAAGATTGTGCTTTATTCAAACCCAGCCATCCCTGGTGAGGTCTTCGGAGGTAAAGCATGAGCCTTGTGGTCTTGGTTATATGACCATAGGAGAGGGTGCCCTGCAGTGGTGCTGCACAGATTTTCAGAAGATATTCCAGCAGGGAAGGCTGAACAAGTTATATGTAAGGGAGAGAAAGTTGGGAGAGGAGCTGCAACTGTCAGCTTTTTAGGATAACTAGAAACATATTTACTCTTTTAATGATACATCATTATCTGATAGCTTTTTGAGATTTGGATCAGGATATGTAAATCTGTATTTGTGAGAAATGTCCATATACTTTAAAGTAATTAAAGAGATTAAGTGATATACAGCTTTTTCTAAACTTGTTTAATGTTGTTGTCAAGACAAGTGAGAGATGTAATAGCCAAGGGCAAGGAAAAAGATTAAAATAGTGTGACCAGTGTGGCTCAGTGGTTGAGTGTCATCCCAGGAACCAAGAAGTCACTGGTTTAATTCTCTGGTTCCAAGCTCAATCCCCAGTGGGGGTGCATGCAGGAGGCTGCCAATTGATAATGTTTCTCTCTCATCAATGTTTCTTTTTCTCTATCCCTTTCCCTTGCTCTCTCTAAAAGCACATTTAAAAATTGAAATATATATGCATATATAATTCATCTAAGGAACTGTCAGTGAATATGTTCATTAGGACAGAGAACAGTTATAGATCTGTGTTAATAGCTAAATTTTGTTATTTTTTTAAATAAAGGCCAACCTTAAAATCAAGGGCTTTTTTTTTTTAACAGGTTTGAACCTGAAAAGTATCTGTTACAATTTACTTTTTAGAAATCAAATTCTGTTTTAAATTCTCATATGGAAAATCTTTAATGAAGAATTAAGAAGCTCTTCCAAAAGAAAATAATCACATCTAATTGAGCTATTTGATGATTTTTTTTTTTTACACTCATTTCTTACGGTGAGCAACATATGTTTGGGTTAAGTTGTTACAGAGTAAGTTATCACAAACAAAATCTTCAAAAAAAATTTAAAAGCCTCAGTAAATGGCCATGTTTCATTTTATCATCATTAAATAATCTCAGAACCACCACATAATTCCTAGAGATAAGAGAAGGATGTCCCAGTATCTGTCTCTGTGTCCAAAGTGTGCCAAGGCCAGTTAAGACTCTTCATGATTGTAAACATGTCTTTGAATGATGGTTTCAATTTTTATAGGTTTTTTTAATAACAGGAAAGTAAGGAGAAAATCCGGCAATGTGCTAAGTCAGTAGTCAACAAACTATGCAGCTCTTTGGCTCCTTGAGTGTGGCTCTTCCACAAAATACCATGGCCTGGGTGAGGCTATTTTGAAGAAGTGGCATTAGAAGAAGTTTAAGTTTAAAATATTTGGCTCTCAAAAGAAATTTCAATAGTTGTTCTGTTGATATTTGGCTCTGTTGACTAATGAGTTTGCCGACCACTGTGCTAAGGCAAGAAAAAATGATCCAGGCAGGAAAATGTATAATGTAAAATACATTTTAAGAACAGGAACAAGGGGTGGGCGATGGGGGTGTCCCCAGCATTTTGCTGCTGGCAGCAAACTTTGTCATACTTGGGAATGAAAAAATATTTTATCAGCAGAATGTGTGCAAAGGTAAGAATTTAGTGTGTGTGTGTGTTTTTAAGACAAACTAAAAGGGGAAAATGTCAAAAAAAAAAAAAAAAAAAAAAGGTTTACCCAATGAAAGACAGAAAGTGAGGCAAGCATGAGGAAATAGAGTAGGAAGTTGGAATCAAGGAAATGTTATGTACCAATGGCTCTCAGCAAGTGGGAGTTGTGTCTGTCACCATTGACCAAGCAACGCAAAGCACATGGAATACTGGAAATGGTGGAAAGTAGATGACAGACTGAGTAACTGGAATGATCATACAGAAGAGAAACTGGACCTTGGTCATCATGGGGTTCCTTATCCGCCTGTGTGTCCTTAGGTCTCACTGGAGAGAGCCCTGGACACAGCACTTGCACCAGGCTCATCCATTCTCGGGAAACTCAAGTCATACCTGGGGCCAGTACTCCTCCACAGGCTACTACCAATTGATTTGAAAGGAGTTTGTGGCCGAAACCGGTTTGGCTCAGTGGATAGAGCGTCACGGACTAAAAGGTCCCAGGTTCAATTCCGGTCAAGGGCATGTACCTTGGTTGCAGGCACGTCCCCAGTAGGGAGTGTGCAAGAGGCAGTTGATCGATATTTCTCTCTCATCGATGCTTCTAACTCTATCCCTCTCTCTTCCTTTCTGTGAAAAATCAATAAAATATATTTTTTAAAAAGAAAGGGGTTTGTACACATCATAATTAAGAGTATTCAAAATCAGAAAGCCAGTTACAGGATCAGAAATGCTCAGAATATTTGAGCCAGATCCTTCCTTCTTTTCCTAATGAATATGCTAGCCTTTCAGCACTAGCAGAGAGAGGAAAGTATCAACTCAGGATGTGTAAGACCCTAAGACGAGGAAGTATGGATTTAGGTTCTCAAAATAGTAAGAAAGTGCGTCATATCAATTTGCCCTTCTGTCAGTAAGTTAAGGGAAAAGAATCTTAAAAAATACTAGACTTGAGGAAGCAAAGTCTTCAGGAAATTAATCAGAGGCCAAAACATATTGTGAGCTTTTCCTCCAAAAGCAAAAATAAGAAAGCCTCCACATATATTTAAGCCCTTGGATTCCTACTCTAAAATGATTTGGGGGGATGATGCATAGGTGAGCAGACTTTTCCCAGAGCTGTATTAGAATTTGAACTACTAAACCTTTAAGAACTTATAAAATCTAACATATTATTAAACTCTACCACATAGTTGAGTACAATATTTATATATCTTTGTTTTCAAAATTGGATAGAAAGCAATAATTTTTGTAATAATCTGAAACCAGTTTCATGAGGTGCTTTGCCAAGTTCGAAGGGTTGGGGAAACAGTCTATACACACAGCCTCACTCCCTTCTCATCCTCTTCATCATGCCGACAGTCTTCCCAAGAATCATCACCAGCTCGGTCGTGCCATTAGAGATGAGAGGCTATCTGTGTTTCCCCTGGAAACCTCTATTCTCCAGACTTTATGACTCATTTATAAATATTCACTCCAGGCAACAGTTCCATGTATTATGATTCTGGGCCTCAGAATCTATACTGAACTTCACTAATGCTTTTAAAAAATCCAGGGACGCTTACACTACAACAAAAGAACCAAAAGAAAAATCATGTGCAGTATGATTTGAACTAAAATACTGTGGAGTCTAGAAGCCATGTATACATAACTCTTTCTTAGCAATTCTATCTTTCAGAGTATAATTCAGTTGTAATAAAATGTATTGCATTGTATATAGTCTATTTAATTCAAATTACACATTTCTAATTTATTTGTTTCTATAAAGGCAATTAAATTTGAAATTATATTTTCAGCTAAAACTTTTGTACAGCACTCTATTATTAGCCATGCTCCTTTTATTGTACAGAATTTGAGATGGAATTATATCAAAAGTCATGAGATTATATGACCTGTCTTTGAATACAATATCCTTAATATGTCTAAACATATCTAAGACATCAATATCTTCCATCCAGATGGTGTCTAGCTCCTTGAGAGAACCTTCAACATTCCAGATTGGTCTTCTACCTGAAAGAAAAGACATCACAAATTTAATGGTTTTATTAAAAAAGAGGCCAAAATATACTTCTTCCCCCAATCTGGAAAGACAGAATTGTAAAGACTGGGAAACAGAGTAAAATCGCATCAACCCATCAAAATGAAACATTTTCTTCTTAGAGTCATCCTTTTCATGTTTGTATTATACTTAGAGATTCAGTTGTTTGAATTAAATGCTCCTCCTGTTACACTGCTGTGCCAGCTGTGTGTGCAAGTGCTAGTTAGCAAGTACCGAAGTTATATTGCCAGAATTTCCCTGGGGTTTTGGCTTTTTTAGTATGTGTGTGCTCCAGATCTAACCTCCAATGCACTTCTCTTTTCTCCCCCACAGCTGTTTTGTGATAGTAAGACGGCGGTGCATGCCACAGACGGGCTGGACTGGGAGGACAAAGATGCCCCTGGGACCTTGGTGGGCAACGTGGTTCACTCGCGGATCCTCAACCCGCTGCGCCTGTTTGTCAAACAGTCCCCGGTGCCCAAGCCCGGGCACCTGGCCTACGCGGACAGTTTGGACAGCTTCTGGGACTGGCTGGCCAACATCACGGAGGCCCAGGAGCCCTTGGCAAGAACTAAACGGAGGCCCATAGTCAAAACGGGAAAGTTCAAGAAAATGTTTGGCTGGGGTGACTTCCATTCCAACATTAAGACTGTGAAACTCAATCTGCTGATCACGGGAAAAATCGTGGACCACGGCAACGGAACGTTCAGTGTGTATTTCCGACACAACTCCACGGGCCTGGGCAACGTTTCGGTGAGTTTGGTGCCCCCCTCCAAAGTGGTGGAGTTCGAAGTGTCCCCGCAGTCCTCCTTGGAGACCAAGGAGTCCAAATCCTTCAACTGTCGCATCGAGTATGAGAAGACAGACCGGGCCAAGAAGACGGCCCTGTGCAACTTCGACCCGTCCAAGATCTGCTACCAGGAGCAGACGCAGAGCCACGTGTCCTGGCTGTGCTCCAAGCCCTTCAAGGTCATTTGCATCTACATTGCCTTCTACAGTGTCGATTACAAACTCGTGCAGAAAGTCTGCCCTGACTACAACTACCACAGTGAGACTCCTTACCTATCTTCTGGCTGAGTCCTTCCTGCAGCCATAGAAAGCGGGGGACGGTCTCTATTTCATTGGAATGACCGAGAACCGAGCCAGCTCATCGTCGTCAAGGATCCTGTTTATATGGCAGTGAACCTTAGTTCCCCAAGAGGTTTACAAATTAAAAACGAAAGAAAAAAAGAAAGAAAGAAAGAAAGAAAGAAAGAAAGAAAGAAAGGAAGAAAGAGAGAGAGAAAGAAAGAAAGAAAGAAAGAAAGAAAGAAAGAAAGAAAGAAAGAAAGAAAGAAAGAAAGAAAGAAAGAAAGAAAGAAAGAAAGAAAGAAAGGAAGAAGAGAGAGAGAGAAAGAAAGAAAGAAAGAAAGAAAGAAAGAAAGAAAGAAAGAAAGAAAGAAAGAAAGAAAGAAAGAAAGAAAGAAAGAAAGGAAGAAAGAAAGAGAGAAAGAAAAGAAAAGAAAAAAAGAAAGAAGAAAAGGAAACATCTTTAAACATAAAGTGTGCTTGTTTCCATCATAAGTACCTTCATCGGAAGAGTCAAACTGTTTATGAAGCCATCGTTTTCACGTAGGATGGGGAAGTCCTCAGAATACTGTTTCCCTAAAAGAAGCATCAGTGGTAGCAACACATAATGAGGAAAGAACCGAATTATGCATGTAATAAACATTGCTCTTGGAATGAGCCTGCCTTGAACTGTTTTTGGATGGTTACCTTAAAAACAGCAGATTCAGTGAAGTCACTGTAAAGGTTGTATTTGATTGGTGACTTGCACTTCTGATGTGAGATTTTTTTTTATTATTATTGCTGTCTTCCCCACTTCCCCCACCCCCATCTGTTTGGTTACTGAGATGAGAAATGAAGGGGTGAAATTTGTTTCAACACTAGTGTGTGAAGTTACAGTGCCACAGTGCAACTAAATACACTGTTATCTGAGCTGGAGTAGGGTGACTGTGATGTAAACAGCCCTATGTTAGTCACTGCCTTTATAATTCTCATCAGAGTAGTAATATTGGTGTATTGGGAAAGGAAATCTGGAGGTATTATAAGTCAATTCAACAATAATGAAGATCATGATGCTTTTAGATTCTTTTGCCAAATTCAGTGCTGTGAGAGATTGTTAAAAAATGTCATAAATCTGCATTCACCCAGTAACCTATAAACTCTTTCTATTCATCTGGTAGCATGGTTTTTCTAGACATGTTTAGGGCAACTCTGAAATTGGGAGAAAATGAATACTTCGTAGGCTGCCATAGGAGAAAACTTGAAAGTGGAAGGAGGAGATTCCAGGATTATGGATTCTTTATTTCCAGCCTCCCAGGTTAAGATCTGCTTGCATCCTTAATTATTTGAATGATCATGTTCCATGTGGAAATAAAGAGTCTGTTTAAACATTATCAATTATTATTAAGTACTAATAACCAAGATATCTGACTCCTCAGGCTTTTGAAATTATTTAAAAATTAATATTTCTGCACAATCGGTGTGCCTCCTGTCGTCTCTGAGGAGTGGACAGTCAGCCTGGACAGTAGGACAGGATGACCTTGGAACTAGCACAGAATGAGGGGCTGGGTGACCAGTAAAAAGGTTTTGAGAACCCATAAGACTCACAGAACGGTTACCTTTTTTTACACATTAACTTTTAGATGTTTACTCCTCCTACCCCCTTCTTATCTGTAAAATATCACTTAAAGTAAAGCACTAAATCAAGGACTGAAGGAAAGCCAGTCCCAACCAACAAAACTGCTCCCAGCACATCATTAAAAAGTCAACAGCTCTGCTCTCTATTTTGCATCTCCATCCCTTTCCTTTCCTTGCTCTCTGCACCATGTTTCAGTTTGTCTTTTACAAAATTGTAATAGGCTTAGTGTGTGGTAGTACAGACTTGAAATTTTTGCTCTGAGTTCATCAGGTGTTTTTGTAATTTTGTGGTTGGTGTGAAATATTTTGAGACATCTTTTATTTTCATCTAGAAACAAGATTAAAATACTATTTATTGTAAGATATGTGGGAATCATAGATGTATATATACTTAGAATTTTCTGTGTACAGAGAAAGTATGTGTACACATTTCTATGTAAATAAAAAAATTTGCTAAATCTGTCACATGACTTCAGAGTATTTTTTAAAAACTATTCTTATTTCTTTTTTCACAAGTATTTATTGTATATGCACATACATATGTGTGTTTGCATGTGGGCATGTGTGTATGCGATATCAACTGAGCATTAAGATTCTCCATATGTACTTATTAAACAGAGCAGCTCAACTATGGAGATTATAAAGCAGAGTAAAAGGATTATTGCTATAAAGCGTGGTACATAGCCTGGCATCTAGTAAGAACTCCTTAAGTGTGAGTTGCCATTATGATCATATTATTATAACATGAAATGAGATTTAAAGCTATCCTATGTTCAAAAGTTGAGTGACATAAATGTTATATCCACACAAAGAAAAAAACAACACTAAATCAGTTTAGATTTCAGCAGGATTTAAAAAAAGAGAAAGAAAGAAAGCTGCCCTAGGCATATTTTTAAATTGGAGTAGAACATATGCCACATGTATTTTTAAGTCATAATTTTATTTCAAAGCCTACATAATTGTCAGTAATGGCGCTTAGCACAATATAAATCAGATTCCATTTCAACATGCAAATGCACACATTTCTACAAAGCCATTTTCACCTTTGCACACATTGCAGTGGAAGAAACAGATATTCAAGGGTATTAATGTAAGACAATTTTACACCTAACCACAAATTGTTTAAATTAAAAGGAAAAGACTCTTTAAAAATAAAAGTTAAACTAATAGATTATACCCTTGAATGTAATGTCATACATCAATATACCTCAATAAAAAATTTTTTCAAAACGTAGAAAAACAACACTAGCAGAAATTTAATCCTTAGGGTGATGCCAATAGTCTTCCCAGGGGCTCTCCAGACCTGTTTTACTGGGAAGTAAACTAGTTTGAAGACCTTTTCACCCCTCAGCAGAAACAGCCTTTGTACTTATTCCCACACAGGAGGAGGAAAGAGACCATATTTCCATGACAGAGTCCAATGTGGTCACAACGGCCACACACACACTGTCAAATCTATAGACAGGAAATGAGAATGATCCTGTGCATAGCAGGCCGGAGGCAGTCAGTAAAGAAGCACTTTTTTACGTCGTGGTAGTTGGAATTTCAGCACATTCTCATGATCTAAAGTAACAGCAATGAGTGTGGTTCTCTGGCATGGCCACTCCTAAAAGCACTTGGTACACATTGCATTATACTCTTTAATCTTTATTGTAAAAACACTTTTCTTCTTTACTTTATATGACTTAGATGCTGCATGCTACCTTGAGGCATGCTTGCTACATTTTAAACATTTCACATTGAGCTAGATCTGTCTACATTTAAAATAAGGTTCTGCTGTGTTGGGCCTGCCATTATGGCTTTTCAAAGTGTGGTGTGCAGATCAGCAGTATGACCTGTAAGCTTGTTACAAACGTAGAACCTCAGGTCCCAGCCCAGACACTGAATTGGAGTTTTCATTTTAACAAAATTCTCGTGAGACATGCATAAGCATTAAAAATTGAGAAGAACTTCCCTAGAAAGTCTGGTTTAGGGAAAGTGCTATTGGAATTAAGAATCTTCATAGTAAATAAGCACCCTAGGGTATGTGATTCAAATGAACTTCTGATGATACTTTGTTTTAAAAAGTTAAAGGAATGGACACTTTTAAAAATCAAAAATTAACCCTGACCGGTAGCTAAATGGTAGAGCCAAATAATTGTGGGTTCAATTCCCAGTCAAAGGCAAGTACCTGGGTTGCAGGTTAGATCTCTGGCCCTCCTGTCAAGATAGGTTCAGGAAGCAACTAATTGATGTGTCTCTCTCACATCAATGTTTCTCTCTCCCTCTCTCCTTTTCCTCCATCTTTTCCACTTTCTCTAAAAATCAATGGAATAAAATATCCTCAGGTGAGAATTAACAAAAGTTTTTGAAAAATTAAAAATAGAAACAAAAAATTAAACTAAAAGTTGTAAACCAAATGAAAAAAGTGATCACACATGGAAGAGTAAGATTGCAAGGGTGCGGTCTGTACTGTCTCTTAGTTCAACCCTCTCCTTTGACAGGCAAGTGAAACGGAGCCCCCATCGGAGTAAAGGACATGCCCACCAATAAGTGACAAACCCAACTGAAATGCAGGCACCTTGACTCCTGGTCCTAGGTCTGATGTTACCCAAGAAAGTTAAGCTAAAGCAGATATTCAAGACAAAACAAAAATAATTGCAGTGAGCTTATATCAAGACATGATCCAAAGGCCAAAACTAAACATTAAAATATTCTCTTTCTAAAACCTTCAGGATTATAACTTCTTTAAAAGCACAAAATTTTAAAATTCTGAAACTAAAGAAAAATAAAATCAGGAGAGAGCCATTATATTGAAAGATAAGAATCCTGAGTATTATAGGTATATCTCACTAAGAATTAACAGTAGCTACATTGACTACTACATTTGGAAGAATTTTTAAGTGATTATAACACCTGGTAATGTATTTTCATAGAAATAAGTAAATTTTGTGGAATGTCTTAATTCCCTAAAGGTCTGATTCTACCATATAAGGAATCTTTAATTAATCAGTCTATAAAATAGAGATGGAGTTGTGCACTTTTACTTGCAGTAAAGCTATAGTTAACCACAAGATAATTAATCAGAAGTTTCAAAGAATGGAAATTTAATATTTTCAATTGTATGAGACAAATCACAGGGAAACAGGCTCATGTTAGAGACTTGTTTCTTCATCAAAATACTGTAGATGACATTGGAGGGTCATTTCATATTCACCTCTATCTCCTAAGTCATGCTGTGAAGTCTGGAACCCTAGGAACATATCCCATCCTTCATTTTCAATCTTCTCTTTTCTTTATCCAATTCAGCTCCCATAAGTAGTATGTAATATATTTTACAAAAAATAATTGCATTAACTTCATGTTCTCCATAGCACCTGGCAAAGTGTGTGCTATGTTAGTATCTGTCTCTTGAT